ACGTTGGAATTTTCTTGCACTTATTTTTTAAAAAGAACCTTTTGTTTCCAGTGTTAATATAAAGTTGTCACCCGCCCCCTTTTTAAGAAGAACTGCTCTTTGTGCGGGGAAACCTGCATTTCCTATGTTTTTGCTTTTGAAGTGTTGCCGATAGTCATCTTTGAAAATACTTTTGTTTGTGGGGAAAACACTGGTATTTCATATGAATCTTAGCTCTGCTCAGACAATCTATGTCAATAGAGTTTTTATCATTGTAATCACCCTGTATGTGGACACTGCCTGCCCTGGCCAGCCTACAGCAGCACTCCAGCATCATGTGTTCAGGGCCATGGGGACACCACTTTCTCAAAGAGCTATCTCTATTCCTCACTGAACAACAGTGTCATGATACTCCACTTATTTGACATCTCCAAGAACATAAGCCCTTATCCATACCCAGAACCTGGTCCCTTCGTGTGGCAGGAAGTCTCAAGAGGCTTTGGCTATCTTGTAAAGAATGAGCCCCCTGAGGCCATGGGGGTATAACATTCAGTTTCTGCAAGAGTACAGCTAGAGAAACAGGAAGCAGCAACCCAAAGGTCCCTGATATAAGCCACTGAACAAATGATAATCACTCAAATATTGGAAAACAAGCAGAGGCAAGAAATGATGCCAAGAGAGAACTCAGATGGCAAGGGGAGAAGAGCGTGGTGGGGAAGAGAGGATGCTGGAGTCCCATTACTGGTTCTATTCCTCATTAGGCAGAAGGCTATAGGAATAATATTGCCTACTTCATGCAGCATTATTGCTAGGGAGGTTAAAGGGCCAAACATACAGTAAGCATTCATGGGATATTAACCAGTCTCCTAGACAGGGTGACATTTGAGAAGGATAATGTAAGGCATATTAGGAAATGGGAAGTCATCCTTTTGATTTGAGGGAGAATGGAGTTAACCCAAGGGCATTAACAGAAAAGGAGATTGGAATTATAATAGAAAGCATTATAGGAAGAGAAGCCACCAAAAAGATAAACTGTGGAGGACAATGCTTGCACTCATCTCAGGAGAGCAACGATGTGGAGGAGATCCTGAAGGGGAACAACTGGATGGAGGGCATGGCTATACTTACAGACCTCTGGCTCCGGGAGGGGAGGTGCTGGGGGGGGCATGGCTATACTTACAGACCTCTGGCTCCGGGAGGGGAGGTGCTGGGAGGCATGGCTATACTTACAGACCTCTGGCTCCGGAAGGGGAGGACCAAGGGTCCCTGTCCCCATTATCTATTCCTCAGCTGTCGTGTTTCCCACTACCTCCTGCTCCTTCTCTGGTCACCGCACTGCACTTCCCTGTCCTCACCACACAGCATGGCAGGTTCACACCTCCTTTGTATTTGTTACTTTTCTCTTTGCTGTGATAAAATATCGGACAAAAAAGCAACTCAAAAGAGGAAGAGATTATTTATGTTAAAAGTTTAAGGAGACATGGTTCATTATGCCAGGGAAGGCGTAGGTGGCAGTTAGAGGCAGCTCGTCATCTTGTGTTCGCCATCAGGAAGCAAAGAGAGATGACTACTCCCCGTCTGCTTTTCATCCAGCCTGGCATCCTAGCTCATAGTCCCATACCACCCGTATTCTGAGTGTGTTTTTCCCCTTTAACCAAACCCAGGTGTGTCCAACCTATAGCCTGTGGTCCAAATGTGTTCCAAGATATTTAGCCTAGAATGCTTTCTGATGATGACAAGATTGTGTTGCAATGTCAGAAAGTCAGACATCCTGCCTGGTAAGCTTTTCTGGAAACCCTCTAATAGACAGTCCCAGAGATGTGTTCCCATGATAAGACTAAATCCAGACAAGCTGACAGTGAAGATTAACCTATATAATCTCCTCACTATACACACCCTGCAACCCCACTAGACCATATACACTCGCTAACGCCATGCCAACAGCTGTCGCCAAGAAAAGCTTCAGGGTTCAATAAACTGAAGGAGTGAGCTGAAAGAGTGGTGGCCAAAAGACTTTCTGTTTGGTCAGAAATAAGGTTTGTGAGAAGGGGGTACATGTTCTGTTTGGTCCTGCATGTGGCCCACCACATATTCCTTGGGAGAGAAATACGGACTGGAAAGCATGCTTAGAGAACCTGTTGCATCACAGGAGGGACTGGGGGGAAAGCTGATGGATGGCATGAGGTGGGAACATCGGCTCTCTTCAGATGTTTATAGGCCTGTCAGGTGACAGAAGGAATTGTGCAGCCCCAGATGGGAGGAGCCAAGGGTGATTTCCAGGATCTGGAGGCAGCCAGCCAAATATAAGAGAACGTGTGCCAAAGACTGGAAGCATGCGTCGGAGTCAGATAGTGGAATGCTTTGTGCTTTCCTTCTGTTTGCAGGAGCGTCAGGTGGGCGCCCCAATCAGTTCTGTATATGATGCTCCGAACGTCTGAAGAGTGTGGCGTAGACGAAAACATTAAGTGACAATATGTGTGAAAACCCCTTCCCAGCTAAGACCATCTTTTGGTCTTGTTAAGTTACAAAGATGGCATTAGAGTGGATAGGGCTACAGTGCAGAGAAGGCGTAAAACACCCTGAGAAAGAGTTGTATTAGTCAGGGTTCTTCAGAGGAACACAACTTGTAGAATGCATCTCCCTCTCTCACGCATACATACAAATTATATATATATATATATATATATATATATATATATATATATATATTCCAGATTAAAAGTGGATCTCCCCACTTCAAAAGAGCTGAATTCAAGGTTTACCTTCCCACCTCAAAGATCCAGATTAGAAGTGGGTCTTCTCACTTCAACTGATTTAATTAGAGGGGAAAAAAAATTCCTCACAGGTGTGCCCATTCATTTGCTTTTTAGTTTATTCCAGATGTAGTCAAGTTGACAACCAAGAATAGCCATCACATGGAGTAACCAGAAAAAAGTAGACATCTTGATAGCACAGTGACTAAAGCCCTCAGGAATATTTTGAAATTAAAACAGAACTCTTAGGCCATGCATGGTAGCTCACACCTGTAATCCCAGTGCTTAGCAGACCGATGGAGGAGAGACACCAACAGTTTTAGGTCAGCCTGGGCTGCCATGGAAGTACCAGGCCAGCCAGAGTTAGAATGAGACCCTGAAGAAAGAAACAAAAAACTTGAAAGGGAAAAGAAAGATAATTGCTGATAGAGAAGGAAGAAAGCCACTTTTATGTGGGATATTTAAGGAGTTTCCATTTAGAATGTGCTATAAAATCCCTCCTCCTGATCCTCAAGAGAACATAAAATGCTTTGTTTAAAAAGATTAAAATAAAATAAGTTCAGCTAGGTGGCAGTGATACACACCTTTAATCCCAGCATTTGGGAAGCTGAGGCAGGTAGATCTCTGAGTTCAAGGCCAGCCTGGTCTACAGCGTGAGTTCCAGGACAGCTAGGGCTACACAGAGAGACCCTGTCTCAAAAAAATAAAATCATAAGGGGACAGAGAGATCAGTGGTTAAGACTGCACACTTCTCTATCAGAGGCCCTGGGTTTGGTTCCCAGAACCCACAGTAGACAGCTCATAACCGCCTGTAACTCCAGCCCCCGGGGATCTGATGCTCTCTCCTGGCCTCTACAGGCACTTCCCTCATGTGCACATACCCACACCCATACACATAATTAAAAAAAAAAACTTTTAAAAGTTCAGGTATGGAAGCTGTGTGTAATGGTACATAGCTATAATCCCAGCCTAAGAGAGGCTGAGATAGGAGGATGGTAAGTTTGAGAACAGCCTGCTCTACAAAACAAGACTCTGTGTCAAATATATATATATATATATACATACATACATACATATATGGTGTATGTATATATGATATATGTGTGTGGTATGTATATCATATATGTATACATGATACATATCTATAATCAGGTATTAGTCTGATAATCCAAAGATGCACAATGGTAGAAATACAAAAGCCCACTTCTAGATTTCTGGTTTGTCTAGGTTTTCCCTAGAAAATGCCAACATGGTCACCATCACTATCAAGTTCTCTTAGGCTTCTTTGAAAAGAAAAATGTAAGCATGGTATCAAACCCCAATGCTGCTGAGCACAGTGGTGCATCCCCGTAATTCCAGTCCTCGGGAGGCTGACACCGGGGATGGGGAGTTTGAGGTCAGTCTGGGCTGTGTGGTGAGTTAAAGGAAAATCTGGGCTACATACTCTGTCTGAGGAAAAGCAAAAAGAAACCCCAGCTGGCTGCTGAAAATTCCTAAACCTCTTGCTAACATCTGGCTACCCAGGGCCACTAGAATCGTGGTTGTTGGGGGACACAGGGACTTGGGAAGCTCCCACTGGCAAGGTCTGCCCCTGCCTTTCCTACAGGGAAGCGTGAGTTTTACTTCCGTATAAACCTGCTTTCTCTGGCCCCAACCCCACGTGACGTCAAAGCGAGCTGAAGCTGTGTGATTTTCCCAGTGCATTCCATTGCCTTCTGACTTTACCTCTTTGCTAGTTTAAATTAACCTTGGGCCCACTTGGGCACACCTCAGCTAGTTCTGTCCCACATGTGACCACTGACTGGCTGGGGTTGCTGGAGGACCAGTCTCCCTGGCTCCCAGCTGCCTTTCTTTCCTGTGATCACGTGGACCAGTCTGTGACCCACACAGTCTGGTGAGTTACCCAAGCAAGGAGAAAGGAAGGGAGGGCCATCGCTGGGAGTGGCACGGTGAGTCCCATCAGTGACTTGGGTCGCCTGATACTTGCTGAGCCTGGCAGCTATCCCTAGCCACTCTCATTTCCTTATGGTTTGCTTACTCTTTCAGATCCCTCTGCAGCTTTTGTTTTTGTTTTGTAAGGGAGAAGCACAAAGGATAATGACACCCACACCAGTGTCTCTAATTGCAAAAGTACTTGTTGTCCTTGACTGCCACCCACCCCAGCCCCACCCATGGGGTTTCCCCCATTCTTAGTTCTCTTGCTAGGGGCAATTAGGGCTCCATTCTCTCCCTTTACCCTATAAGTAATTTTGTGTCTTCTCTTCCCAGGACCCCACAGAGAATGGTGCTGTAGCCTCTGCAGACACTCAGAAGACAGACCCTGCTATGGAGCCACAATTCAAAGTGGTGGACTGGGACAAGGTAGCTGACATGGGACATTGGGGGTTATTGGGGTCTTAGGGGGTGGGGAGGTGTGTGAATCCATGATGTGTGTCCAGGGAAGATGGAGAAGAGACACAGGTACCCACAATGCTCAAGTGTGACCTGGGGCAGCAAACCTAGCTGTAGGCACTGGGGGCTGAGGAAGGCTTGCCTGCGGGAAGCTGGGGTAAATGGTGTGTGAGATCTCTGCAAGAAACCCACCCTACATAAGCTGGAATACAACAAGCCTCCCATCAGGAACCCTGCCATTAGGAAGGGAACAATGACAAGGTTGACATACCCACTCTGACCAGTGTACATGAAAAATCTGCTTCTGGCACCTATGACCACTCAGAAAAAGTCCCTTGTGGATAAAGAACCCACAAGTCCCCTGTGGCCAAGGCTATGTAGCAGATAGGGCTGAGGAAAGCTGGAGCTGAGCACAGAGTCTTACAGCCAACTTCTTTAGTCTAGAGACCATGCATCCTGTTGATGTAAGGTGAGCCCTGGAAGAGTGGACCAGTGTTGCCTAGAGCGTCTTGGGTGAGAACCAAGCTCGGGTGTTATTTCCCTCTGTTTAGGGCCACAGTACTGTTCCCACATTGTTATCTCTTGGAATACATGAGTGTGTCCTCTGCCTGCAATGGACACAAGAGGCATGGGAACAATAGGACAGCCATCCCTTTCTCCTCAAAGTAGTTATGACAACATGAAGAGATTCAGGAAGCATTCCAGGAAACACAGGGGACCAACCAGAGGACAAGGGACATGGATCAGAGGAGCTTCCCGGAGCTGGTTGTTGGTTAGACCCCAATGACCAGGACTCCCAAGGCTATGACCCCAGGACTTGGGGAGAATCTCTGTCTATGGGACTGCCTCTGGAGAGCTCCTAGCTCATGACAAAAACAAGTAGTGCATCCAGCTTGAAAAGTCAGGAGATTATTCCATGCCCCTGTCCCCTCTAGAGAGCCATGGGTCCAGCAGGAAAATAGGTCAGCAAGAGGAAAGCCTTTCATCAGCTTGTTATGACCTCCTTTCTGGCTCCATTCCTGGATGGGCCATCATTACTCACCATTAGCACAGGGCTTGGGCAATGAATGCCCAAGGTAGACAAGAGGGGAAGGATACTCGGTAACTCAGTAAAATAGCAGGCTTCTCTAGTAATTTGGGGCATTTGGGATTGCTCTGCATATGGCAGAACAAATGAGGAGCCTGCCACTTGAGTGAGTCAAGGCCTCCAGGAGCTACAGTCGAGACTTTGCCCTGGAACTGGAGGAGCTTTGATGAGGATGAGGGCAAGACCAGGAATAAGCCGGTGTGTCCTCACTCGGGGGCATGAGTAGCAGTGGCAGGTACTACAGGCACCAGTGAGATTGGCTTGGGCTTGAGTCTTGGGAAGAACATATTGTAAAGAGCTCACTGGAGCTTCATCAATGCGGCAGCCTACACAATATCTCAGGAACAAACAGCTATGCTTTATGACAAATTGGGGACCACACACACACACACACACACACACACACACACACACACACACACACACACCGGACACGCACACACACACCAGACACACACACACACACACACACACACACACACACACACACTCCTCCTTCTTCCTGTGTTCCTGAGCTGAGAGAGAGGGACTAAGAGTGTCTAAGGGTGTCCTCCAGATGCTGTCCCACCCCCATCAGCTCCCTAGGTAGGGTAAATAGTACTCTCTCCTTCCCTCTTCTCCTCTCTCTTCTCCTTCTCTGCTTTATCCTCCCCCTCCCGTCTCTTCTTTTCATATTCTCTCTTCTCTTCCCAAAAGAGCCCTTCTGCTCCCTCCTCCGCACCTGACCATGCCCCAGCTGTTTGGGTAGGAAGGGACTAGGAGAGCTACAGGCTGTTTCTAATCAAGTCAGGGTAGGTCGGTTTTGAGAAGCTGTGGAAAAATACCAACAAGGTGGTGGTGGCTTTGTCTCCCCTAGAGGGTCTTCGGGCCAGGAGTGAGTTTGCAAAGGTTAAGACACCTTAGCTTTGTACTCAAGGTGAGACCTCTAGGTGCTGCCAAGGACAGGATCCATGAGCTGCAGAGCCTAGCTTCCCTGGCCCTAGAAGCCAGGGAACCAAGTGGGTCAGGCTGGAAAGAGTGAGGAGAAACTAAGCTGATCATGCTGGGCTGGGGTAGAGGGATCTGAAGACAGCAGAAATGAACAAAAGTTGAGAAACTCTGGTGCCCCGCCCTATAAGAAGGTGAGGTCCATCTGACTTTCAGGCTCTGTGTGGAATTTTACCAGAATGGTCTAGATTACTCCCTTGAGCCTCTCTGCTGAGTGTATAAGAGGGGAGAAAAAAAAAACTAGATTGTAACTCCTCCCTCCCATGCTGAAATCTTTGTTTTCTAGAGCACAGCTGGCCTGCACAGTTGCCAGTCACCCTTGGCTTCTGGGCACACCTTCTCCCTTCAGCCTGCTTCATCTTTAGGCTACTGTGTTCTTTTCAGAGCCCTTCCTTGTTAGCCCTCTGTACCTGATCTGTTTCAGAGGGCAGAGGATGGATGCCAGGCTCCCAGGAAACAGTTAGAGCAGATGGGGCTTAAGGGGTTTGCTGAAGCTTCTCCCCCAAACACCCATAGACAACAAATGAACATCAACTTAGCACAGCCTTGACTTGTTTCTTTTTGTTGTTGTTTTCTTTATTTTTGAGACACACTCTCACTATGTAGCCCTGGCTGGCCTGGAACTTTCTGCATAGGCCATGCTAACCTCAAACTCAGAGATCCATCTGCCCCTGCTTCTGCCTCCCTGAGTACTGTGATCATATGTGTGTGCCATCGTACCTGACTAAATTACAGTTTACTATTGAATTTGTACTTGAGCTGTAATGAATGTAATGAAGAAATTCATGAATCATCCATGATCTAACTGGATCCTGTTAACAGTGTCAGGGGCCAGCCAAGCATGGTAGTGCACACCTTTGATCCCAGCACTTGAGAGGCAGAGGTGGGTGGATCTCTGTGAGTTCAAGGCCAGCCTGGTCTACAGAGTGAGTTCTAGGACAGCCAGGGCTATACAGAGAAACCCTGTCACCAAAACAAACAAACAGAAAAAATTGCCTGGCTGACCATACCTAATGAGCCCTTTTCTCTGTACTCCCATGTATCTTGAAATCTTTCCACCTCTCATCTGGCCCAAAGTGAGTCTCCCTGAGCCCTATGACTGGGAGAGGAGATGACAGAAAGGAAGGACGAAACCAGACAGGTTCTGGAGGTATCTCCAAAGTGGCGACATCTTCTTCATCCTGCCTCAAGTTAAACCAGATCCCAGTATAATCAGCTTTCTTCACCTTGGAGAGGCTGTTGGTGGGTGTAGTCTTTTCCATCAAGAGACAGGTAGAAAACCATCCAGCCAGGTGTGTCACCAATCAAAATGCATTGGTACAGCCAGGGAGATGGCTATGTCATTAACGTGCTTGCCATACAAGCATGAAGACCCAGGTTCAGTTCCCAGAACCTCCATATATATACCTGTAATCTTAGCACTGGACAGAGGTAAATAGGACAATCCCTGGGACTTGTTGGCCAGCCAGCCTAGCCAAATAGTGAGCTCCAAATTCAGTGAGAGACTGTCTCTAAATAAGTAAATAAAGTGAAGACACATAAAATCTACTTCTGGATTCCACATGTATGCACATAGGTGCATTTGTACTTACACACATGTACATGCAGAGACACATGCAAGCACACAGGGACATCTATATCTATACAGCAAATGTAGTGGTCGGTTCCCCCGAGTTCCTTCCCTGACCTCAAAACCACACACATAACCTGACTATTGGGAGCTCTGGGGGTCTGTGGAGCTGGCAACATGTTGATTTTGGTCAGATGAGCTTTACTCTTCAGAGGTTCTAACATAACATAAGTCAACAAGGACTTGAGTCAAAACAAAGGTACCCTGACAAACCCATACCCAGGGAATGAAAAAACTCCAGGCTGTGAGTTCCAGCTTGATTCGCCTCTGTTACTCTGCCCCTTCCCCAGACTTCATGTCCCCTGAGTGCAAAGATGCAGAGTACCAGAGAAGTCAGGTGACCCTGAGCTACCTCAGTGATCTTGAGTTTGTCCCACTTCCTCTGAGCAGGAGAGGTCTGCATCAATCCTGGCAGGACTCCAACCAGTTAGCTGGATGCTCCAGCTAACACTAGGCAGGGCTGCAGAATCCCCTTAGCTATGTGCTGGGGAATTCACAGCCACAGGACCCTGATTCCACGGACTGATGCTCTGGGTCTCCAGGCCTAACTCTAGCATCTGTTGCAGAGCAGCAAATCTTCAGTGTTCTCACCTGTGATATGAGGTTATCACAGTCCTCAGTCTCATGATTAAGGCTTATGAAGATAATTAGTATGGGACCGGAGCCCAGGATGGCTTATCATTAGGGTATAGAAAAGATAGCCAGAGGGCTCCTAGAGAGCTTTTTGTCCCTCACTGCTTACCTCCTGCCCTGCTCTACCTCCCTGGCTCAGAAAGCTGTCCTGGAGCAGATGCTCTAGGGTTCAGGTGGACATTTCTTTAAACAGTCGCTTGAGCTCATGGCCGTCAGAAACTACTGGCACTCAGCAGTTGCCACCTCCTGCTCTTGCTCCCCTGGGGAAAAGCAGATCTGAGCACTTGCTGCTGGCTTGAGGCAGCCCCAGAAGAGTGTCCTGTGCCACCTGGTTCCTGTGCTGCCCAAGAGGAAGGGGATCTAGGAAACAAGAAGGAGAGCAGAGGCAGCCCCTCCTTACACAGGCATCAGGCCCTCTGCCCACTCTCTGGGCAGCAGGCTGCCCTTTCCTCCTTCTGTATGCTGCTGCCAGCTGCATTCCTGGCATAGCCAGGAGCAGCCTCCCCCTCCTGGCTGGGCAGGGGCAGAGCTGTGTTGGGGGAAGGGCATGGGGTTCACAAGATGCTTGGCCTAGACATTCACTGATTTCTTCTGCATCCTGGGCCCAGCCTGTTGCTCAGGTCTATGAACCAC